AGCAGCAGAACCTCCATGCAAAGAGGTCTGGTGCCCCATGGCTGAGTACGCACAAAGCCGCCTAATCCAGCTAATGCTGCTCCACAAAATTGCAGAATGGGCTGATACAAAAGGACACAGCTCAGCACGCAACACGCGTAATCCCTCAGACAGAGTGTAAGGGCGCGTAAAGACACTTACAAACTCAAATAAGTCTCCACGGGCACAGTGACATGTCATGTGGGAGAAAAGAAGCATTCACTGGACAAAGGCATCGCTGAAGAAAGAGCTCTAACGAATCCAGAGTGGTATTAAAGACGTGCCTCATTGGGGGGTTGTGGCATCGTTATTCCTTTCAGCAGTGAGAAGCAGCAGCCGAATGCATTAGTCCTGAAGCCCTGCAATTCACTCAAGCACATTGTTTGCTGTAGCCTTTCAGGTTTCTGCCCAATTCAGGCTTGGCCTATTTCCCTTGCCTTTCATACAGTGCACAATCCATTTAGGGATTTATAGTGGCTTAGAGGCACATGTACAGTGTCTTGCCTCTATCTGATTTTTATTCTGTGATAAGAAGGCTTGGGGTCATGGGTTCGTTGGCACTTCTCTCCTCCCTGCCATTCATGTTGCATGGAAATCTAACTATTCATTAGTGTTTATGATTTCATGAGGTTGACTAATGTCCTCATCACTACCTGGAGAAGTTCCAGAGTTTTCCACAAAGAGCATGTGCACCTGCTCTGATGTGATGATATCAGTGAGGGGTGCAAGACAGACCTAAGAGGAGCAGGGCCATAATGAAAAATATGATAATAAAGCACAAAAGCTATTTGTGGTGAAATCCTTGGCCAGTATAAAGTGGCGTGATTCCCACCCTGGTGCACACTTGTGCCAGCTCATACACTGATCTTTAACACTGAAAAGTAAAATCTTCCTGTTTGGATGTTCTCTCCTGCACCACTCTTGCCTGCAGCTCCCAGTCTCTGCTCCCGACAAACACAGGGACTCTTGTGCCTGCAGAGGAAATGTCTTCTTTCCCTTTCTGTGTGGGCTTCTTTACTTTTAACCACCTCACTGTAAGTACACGCATTCCCACTTCTTTCATCCTCTCAACTTCCTGGAGAGTTTGATTCCAAGTCATGCAAAGGGCAGAGCTACAAGTGCTATGAACGGCCACCAGCTCCGCTGACACCACCACAGTGAAACGCAGTGGATATGCCACTCAACCCCAGGTTGTTCAAATTCTATTCATCATTGGTACTCTTATCATCCTTGGAGATGGTCCTATATCCAACAAACCTGAAAGATCCAGCTGACATGTTTCACCTTATGCAGAGCGAGCATGTATCCCCTGTGAACATCCCGAAGGATGGAAGTGCGCTTGTTAAAATGGGACACCAGCAATGGATTCAGAAACCCCACTAACTTCATATTAAGCCTGATTTTTGCAGTCTCTGGCAATACCCATGACTGAAGGCACCAAAGAAGTAAAAAACTATACTCTGGCAGTGTGCCCTGGAGACACGGAGTGCCGTTTCTGAAAGAAACAGAACCGCACAGGGGAAATAACTTTCCAGAAGTCAAACAGCATAATATCGATTGCGCAGGTACCCTTGTGCTCCCCCAGTTACTCCAAAAGTAAATCACACGAAGATACACTGACACATTCATCCATGTTTGCATTAAAAGCTTTTAGATAAAGGCAGACACCCATAAGGAAGAGGCTGGAAAGTGTAAATGCTGTGAGCTCTTTTATGTATGGTTGCTGCAGTCTGATTATAGCTCCAGGGGTATTTACACAGCCTATACTGCGTATTACTGCAATGTTTGAAGTGTTGGGTAATTAATTAAACAACAGAAGGCCTGGTTCATGATTTGACTGGAGTTATCATTGTGGCAGGCACTTACACTGCATTCTGCCTTGCCCTCTTGTGCGCTAGAAGTTTTCGTGGTTTCCTGTGTTGGCTGGTGGCTTCTGTGACTGTTCTCCAGACTGGATTTCTGCTCCTGACAAAGTCAGCATCTCAGTACACAGCTGACTTACGGGCAAAAAAAAGGCCTTGATTTTTTCTCCTGACTATGCTTTAATTTTGGAGATAGATAGGTTATAAATAGAATTGAGCAAATTGTTGACTTTTCTGTGGTCAAATGGAAAAAGGGTATATTTGGTTGGCTCAAAACATGATTATTTTATAAAATTTGTCTATTATAGTAATATGGGTCAGTCAAATGGAATGAAGTGTTTGCTTTTGTGACATGTCTTATCATCCTTTGTTAACGAAAACCCAGGAAATGCAGGATTAGAGTCCCAGGCAGCCTGGGAAACCTGCATTTCGATGGCCTCAGTAACTAAGTATAAGTCCGAGTCTCACTGAACTCTGAGGAAGGGAGTGACTGAAGTGCTAAAGCCCTGGCGCACGGGAAGCAGTGCCAGCTGGTGGGTGCTGAGAGGGCCCCTGAGCTGGGCAGGAACTGGAGGGGCATGGTGTCCTAGGACAGGATCAGCTATACCTGTCTTAATGACTTCTGATGATGGCAATTGCAAACTCTTCCCGTATAATCCACTGCAATGCCTCACTGTCCTTATTGCTAGAAAGTTTTCCTAGTATCTATTCTAGTACCTAACCTCTTTTTTCCCCTCCTAAACTCTCAGCCCGTTACTTCTTGCTCTGTATACCCTGGTCATTTGGAACAGAGTATTTTTCTCTCTGAAGCAGCTGTTGCATACCCAAAGACATCTACTGTACCACTTGTACCCTTGCCAAGCCTTCTCTTTAGGTTAAGCATCCAGTCGGTTCAGAGTTTCCTTGCAGATCATGTGCAAAACTTGCTACTTTCTTTCATGTTGGTAGTGAGTCACAGAGAACACCCTTTGGAGTACAGTAAGATAAACCAAGCTAAAGGCAGCAATGTTTTGCATCCATCCTACAAACATTTCATCAGGACTATGCTTCCCTGTCTTGCTTATGGGGATGTCATGTGAGATGGTGTTACAAGCTTATCTAGATCTGCTGCTTCTCCCCAAGCTACAAAGTCTGTTGGCCTGTCAGAGAAAGAAATTAAGTTTAACATATTTGTTCTTGATGAGTCTATGTCTGTCCTTCATCCAGTCATTTTCTTCTGGGAGTTTAGAAGTTGTCTGACAATTTGTTCCAGGATTTTTCTTTAAATTGCTCATACTTTTCTGTGAACAACAATGTGAAAAATGGAATTTAACACTTTTTTTTTTTTGCCTTCTCATCAGTATCTTCTTTTAGCTAATTCCCTCTATTTCCCTCCTCTCATGTGTACCAAGGGACCTCCAGCTTTTCCAGGGCAGTTAAGTGAATTCACAGTTCTCCACTGCTTGTCAATCCCCATTGCTCTTCCGGCGCATGAGCAAGGGACTAAAATTTTTTAAAAATGTGTTGAAGTAACAAAAATATATTTCAAAGAGAAGAAAGAGTTCCTTTGATGAAAGATGTCACAAAAATTTATGTAGATTATTGCAAAGACTGAGAAGAGTATCTCTAATAGCACCACAGGTGAAAAGAGCAGTTATTAAGGTACTTTTTGTCCTCCTTGAGAAGGATCTGTGAATAAACGGAAACTGAATGCAGATAATTTTCAAAGATAAGATGGGTACAACTTCTTTGAACGGTGATAGTGATTAACCATTGCAACAAACTGCTGGTGACTGATTGCCCATCTCTTGAAGCCTGTGTGACTTTGTGTAGGAAATGTTTAAGCCCAGCAAATCATTAAATTGAATCTTGGTTGACGGAATGAAGTTTCGGTGGCTTTCAATGTGTTGTTCCTGTGGATCCTGAGGCAGTGTGAACGCCCACTGAGGTCAGTAAAGCCATTGCAGCTTAGACCAGCTAGGCATCTGCCCCCAGGGCTTTTAAAAAAGGGCTTTCAAAAAAGGGCTTTCATGAAAATTGATGGGTGACTTGACAAACTGCTCTAATACAGAAATCCATGGGTAGGAGGCAGAGGAAGCAGAGCCTTGTCAGCAAAGGGGAGGGACAACGCTGGTGGTGTCTGCAGAGCACAGGGCAATGCCTCCATGAGAAGGCACAGGTGGGACCAGAGCTGTAAGGCCTTGGGGGCAGGCACAAAGAAGGAGAGTAAAGATGGAGCTGTGGGTTATACAGCGAGGGGGTGAGCTCCAAAGAGCTGGGCAATGTGACTGGCTCGACCACATGTTTCTGCCCATGCTGGTTTATTCTCTTCAACATCCATGACCATTTTGTCAGCCACGTGACACCCAGCACACCAGGTCCCTGAGCTCTCCTGCAGCTCTGGCATTTGCTACTCCCTCCAAATAGCCTTGTGCAGAGAGGAGAGCTATCTCCCCCCTGCTGTACTCCCCTCCTCTCGCTGCGCACTGGGAGACTTTCCAGAGACCCTGCTCAGCACAGCAGGGAGGTACGTGACACAAGTCCCGAAAGCACTGGTCACTCCAGCCACAGCACCGCTGTCTGTTAAAGCAACGTAGAAAAACACACCAGGTCAAAATACTACCTTGTAGAGCTAAATGGAAATGAAGATTTTTTGCTGGAAACATATACACGCTTAGTAACACTTTTCAGTCTCTTGCAATGCCTGTAACAAATGTCACTGCTACATGGAGAAGTTTGGTGATTAAAGAATGACCAATGACATCTGCCTGACCGACTGCACTACTTTGGTTAACCGGGCAGAAATATATATATGCCATTTCCCATAGGTACTTGAAAAGGGTTCAATTTAAACCAGTTAATAAAATAGCTTGTTTGGACAAAAAATAATTGTTCTCTGAGAATACGTGAATTCAACACTGCTAGAAAATCCGTGCCATCTGACGTAGCAGGATTTATAGGTTTAGTGGAAATTGCTTTCCCCACTGTCCAGATTAAATACTGCAGGATGAATTTTTGTATGAGTAAACATCCTTCCAATAACGATCAGACCGATAATGTCTTAAAAAGAGGAACAGGACCTACATTTTGGTTTTTTTCTTCTTGTATGGACTATTTCTGGATACAGAGCCTTCAGGTAACATGTTGACTGTCCATAAAATGCATTTTAGCATCTTCCTGCTGTTATGGGGATGGGTTTTATACACTGAATGCAGAGCCCACCGACAAGGAAAAGAAATACATGAGGTATACAAAAAAGGCAGGTGAGTCTCTTTTTGTTACATTCAGATTGCTACAGTTTGGATAAATGAAATGTTTCAGGGGAAGATAGAATGACTAACAGATAAAAAGAGTTTGTGTTTGCAGATTGCGATCTCTCTGTCAAAAACGATTTCTGTTGCTATTTTTGCCAACGAATAAGTTCTAATGCATTTTCTACAGTGAAAATAATTACTTCCTCTAAAAAATGCGTTTGTGATGTATCTCAAAGTTGGAAAGGGTGAAAAAAAAGAACATTTGATTATGTCTTTTGTGGTTCAGATGTGGTAGAGTACTTACATGGAAGTGGAGAGGAAATTTAGATCCACGAAGATTGCTGTATTCACTGAAGATTAGATTGACTTGAGATTTGAAAAGAAAACATTAAGAATTTATTTTATTATTGCAATGCTGACTGTTTTATAGAGGTTTTGAGAGGAAAAAAATAAAGTGTCTCTGCAAACTTCAATGCTATGGTCAGTTACCAGAGGAAACAGAAAGAGAATTCTGTGTATTGAAGAAAGATACTAAAAATTATTTAAAATATTGTCTATTCTTCTCTTTCTCTCTCTCTCTCTTACAGAAAGGCTATGTGATGTTTTTCTCCCACTATCTTGTAGACAGCCATTTTATCAGATTTTGAGTTGAGGAAGGTTTTTTGCTACAACTAAGTTCTGATTACTTATATTCTGTTTGGGTAAGATTTGGAACTTTGCATGAGGATTTTTACACTCAGGCACATAACATGGTACATCTGGAGGAAACATCCTTTGGGGTTTTTTTGGAGAATATAGCTGACACATTTAGCGTCCTGTTCAAAGGTTGTGTACTGCTGCTTGTGACAGACTATGTCATTTCTGCTTTGCTGTAGTGACTGTTTCTGTTGTTTAATGACTCCGTATCACCAGTAATACCATAAAGTGTACAAGGATGGAAATAAGGAGTGTCACAGTCCTGAGGGATTCCAGCCACCTCTGTTAGCCTTCAGAAGAAATGACTGAAATGTGGAAGGGATGGGAAGTGTGGTGCCTTTTTGTTTTTTTGTAGACCCTTGTAGCAAGTCAGGGCTACCTTGCAGAGTGACTGCAGTATCCCGCTTGGCACCTGGGGGTCCATGAGCTATTTCATACGTAGAAAAAGTCTTCAGCAGTGATGCCACCTTCATGGAGGTGTAACTGGCAAAATGAATGCAGTGGCTCTGTTCACCATCAGCCCCCAGGGGATGCGTTACCAGAGACAGTATAGATGTGAGACAGCCACAAAACCTCTATTTCCATTAAGGCTTCATGACAGTGGCAGTGGAGGTGATCTGTTGGCTGTAGCACAATAAAGGGGTGAGAAGCAAGGTACCACCATTTGACCCGAAAAGCATCCAGCAGAGAGGAATGCGTACACACATCCATGTTGTTGCTTAGCATCTGTAACGAAAGCTCCCACTGCACCAAACATTTAATAGTGTCAGTGCAATTAAATAAGATATAACAAATCACAGCAGCAGAGCATTAAAAATATGTGAAAATGGAAAAGAAATAGCTGCTCAGCTCATGTGGGAACCGCCTCTTCACCCGTGCTTTGTATATATGGTGTAATTGTGCCAGGACAAGTCCACCAGAAAGCCCCAAGGTGTTGTGGCTTGGAGAAACTGGGTCCACCATCTTCCCAGCACACCTACGCTGGTCTGGGAGGCCATTTCTGGCCTATTTCTGCCTCAGTAGAGCAGTGCTGACACTGAGGAGGGCTGATGGGGAGCGAGGAGCAACACTGGCACATGGCCATAGGGTTGTCCATCAGCAGCGTGATGCCCAATACAGCACTCACTTTCCCATGTGGTAGGATAGGCCACAAGAGACCAATGGTTTTAACAGCCTTAGAATTTGTAAGGTAAAAAAAGACGATTACGGTCATCTGTCTGATATCCTGCTAAGCACAAACAACAAGTCTTCTGTATGAACTGTGCACCAAACTCCTAATTCGTGATAATCACCTTCAGTATCAGATAAACTCAGAATAGAATCACAAGTATATTTTAAGTTTGGCTTCCATTCATTTGCTCCTGTTCTACGCTAGCTAGTCTCTTCTCCATCATGGTACCTGCAGGTGGATCAAGCTCCCACTTCATCTCTGCATAGATATATTTAGAAGATTAGGTTTCTTGTATTTCTCAGTGTAGGATGTTTCCCAAACCTTGACTCAGTCACTTGCTTATTTTTCTCTGTTGCTTCACTGCTTTTGCAAGGCTGACATCAAGACTTGGTGCAGTATTTGTACAGTTCTCATGTAGGTGCTGTATAAAGAGTTACCCTTGTTGACCTGCTGGGATTGTGGTCATGGTCTCCACCGCAGCCCTACAGTGGGAGATTGGGTTTGCCCAACATGGCCAGGTATCTGTGTATGGCAGGACACCTCATCTTAGTGGTACAGCCAGTCCTCTTTATGCTCACATGTAGTTCCCTATATGTTAAGATGCTGATCATATGAGACAGTTTTGAAGCAGGCACTGTTCATTTGCATTTCAGTCAAAGTCAAGGCCTTTTTCCATCACAGAACTAGATCCTGGAAGAAAAACAGAGCAAGCGGGGATGCTATGTAACTTCAGAAAAAGCTTGCAGTGATGATTGCTCCTGAATGTTTTGTTATGGACCCTGTTTCTCCTCCCTTCAAGACTCAGCCCTGAATAACCTTTACACAGAAGAGGTTATAGCAACTGACATTGTTAGTCCTCTCTGAGCACTGTTATTTCTTGCTCCATAAGGCTTATGGCGAGCACCAGGGTGGAAAGCCATCCTCTCACTGCGGCCTTTGTCTTCTGAAGAGACCCACATGCCTCACTGGAGGTTGGTGGGGGAAATCTATTTGAAATGGAAAAGGCTGGCTCCACACCACCGGATGCTCAGGGTGGCTTGATTTGCACCAATGGTCCCCCTAGCCTCCAGAAGCCCTTTAATGCCACAAGACCATCCGCTTGCCCTGATGCCTGGGCTCAGTGCCAACCACCAGTGTTGGCAAGCAGCACAGGCACCTGCTGTAGAGACCTGCCACCTTGGCTGCGCTGCCAGCATCCTGCTGTCCCTGACAGACGTGCCCAGCTTTGCTCCTGATTCTCATGGTGCAGCTGATGGAGGAAACACGCAGGCTTCTAGCCTGTTTATTTGCATGGTGCCGTTCTGCGAGCGTTAGTTTCTTACAAGGAGGCTTACTTCTTCTGAACTCTGCTTTTAAATAAAAACACACCATTTGCTCTGCAGTTTTCAGCCCTAGGGCTTGTCCTTTCACTTGACCGTATCCAGCTGATTCCACAGCCTTTGCACTCCTGCTGATATGTGAATGGGGACCCACAGGGCCAGACACATTCTCTGTCACAATTTTTGGCACTGCAGGTACCCCAAGGTAGCCATTCTGTCATGAGACAGAATAGCTTTGAAGAAGGGTGAGCAGAGAGGCATGGTTTTCCCCACAAGAGTTAATGCATGCAGAATGGTCCTTTGGGGACTGGGTCTGCACAACGGGAATTTTGCAAAAGGTCGCAAATAAATCCTGAAATAAAACTGATGAGGCTTTGGGACACACTGCAGAGTGTGACAAGACAATGGCAAATAGGTGTAGGTCAAAGTATGCATACAGTCACAATGAAAGCAGCAAAGTACATAGCTTTATTGCATGGGACTTATTACAGAGCCCTCCAATACTGTAATTCACTGTAAAAATGTCAGTGTGGCAGTCAAGGACTCAACTACTTATTTATGCTAATCTCCAGGACAAATCACCTCAAAGGAATTTCACTTGAAAGAGCAGCGCTATAAAAATAAAACCTTTCTCACTTTGCAGACCTGCTCACAGTTTGCAGTCAGCCATGTGCAAATCCTGCAGGGTTTGCAAAGCTTTTTGTTCCCACTAAACCCAGAGTGCCAAAGCTCCAACAGGAAGGAGCTGGGATCTGGAGCACCGGCAAGAGGGCGGGCTGCTGCTTTCCCAACTGCTCAGGGGCTTGGAAAGCCACCAGGCTTCACGGGGGTCACTAGGAGGGTACAAAGGGGCACTAAAGATCACAACATCGTGATGCCAACAAAAGGGCCAAAGCCTGTGTTGCTAATTAGACTTGCAGAATCTGCTAGAGAGGATGAGCAATAGGAAAAGAACTGGCCTGGAGCTGAGCCCAGGTTGTTCTGCCAGAGCTAACTGCTGCGAAAAAAAATCTCTTTAAACACTAAAATCTCCCCGGACAGCATTGTAACCACCTTTCAGACAAACAGCTCCCAGCAGATTTCACTGTACAAGATTTACAGATCGTGTTTGTTTAATCTGAACTAAGAGACCCTCTCCATGTTTTCAGTCATGTCCCTACCATTCCCTGGCTGTGTTACAATCATTTTGTCTCACTCTGGTCTCCAAATAGCAACTCATTTTCCGCTCCTCTAGAGCTCCCTGCCCATGTCTCTGTCAGTGAGAGCTATCTTTTACATCAGCTGAATGACATCCTCTACAATAAGCCCTGGGCTTGCTATCTCAAGGACTCCTTCACGGCCAAAGATCTTTCTCTTTATGACCTTTTCAGTTGTTTTCACAATTAGTGACACTCTTCTTAAGTGATGGGAGCCACCCTGCACCATTATAGCCATGGTTCCTTTCTGGTCCTTTCTCAAAGGCTCAACCTCATACTGAACACTCACAACACTGAAGTTACCTCCCCTTGCTTTTGTTCAATTTGGACAGGACTTCTGTGTTGTCAGCTCCTCCATACCCTGGCCATGTGGTGTGTGAGCCCTCTGTGCTCTGTAAATCACACATGGCTATCCTGGTACCCTCACTGAGGCTGCCCCCTACATGTAGGAGAGCTGGTAGCTTCTTGCCCTCCAAATGTTTTCTCTGGCTTTATAAATTCAACCCCAACAGAATTTCTTCCTTTACCTCCCAGCAATCCTTAAGCTGTTCTCTTGTCCTAGAGTTTTGCCCTTGTATCTTATCTTCAGGACTGATCCAGAAAGCATTTATTCACGTAAACAAAGCT